GTGTTTTGCAGACTCTACATTATTCTTTAGTGCTGCATAGCATTCCATTATGTGTATGTACCATAGTTTGGTCATCCACTCTTCTGCTGATGGGCACATAGGTTCTTTCCTTCTTTTTGGTATTGTAAACAGTGCTGCGATGAACATGAGTGTGCCTGTATCTGTTCCTGTCCTGGCTCTCATCTCTCTAGGATATATACCTAGTAATGGGATTGCTGGGTCAAATGGTATCTCCAATTCCAGCTTTCTAAGGCATTGCCACATTGCTTTCCACAGTGGTTGTATCACTTCACAGTCCCACCAGCAGTGTATGAGGGTCCCAATCTCTCCACATCCTTGCCAGCATTTGTTTTCTGTCTCGTTGAACCTTGCCATCACTGCTGGGGTGAGATGGTATCTCATTGTTGTTTTGATTTGCATCTCTCTGATGGCCAATCATTGTTATCATCTCTTCATGTATTAGTTGGCCACCTGAATATCCTCCTTGAAGTGTCTATTCATGTCTTCTGCCCATTTTTCAATTGGATTGTTAATTCCTTTGGTGTTGAGGTGTTGGAGTTTTCTACAAATCTTGGAGATAAGTCCCTTGCCAGATAGGTAATTATCTTCAAATACGAATTTGTTGCTATGGGCTTTTTCATGGTGTTGATTTCATTGTTGCATATAATTTTCTATGCTGAGCTTGTTTTGTTTCTGAATCATGTTATCACTTCCTTTTTTGCTACTGTTTTAATATTTGCTAAATATTTGTGCTAGTCCTTTTTTATTTTGATGTAAAGGTTTATCATTTTTCTTCAAGGTTATCCTGTGATTTATAGTTTTCTTCCCAAGTTTAGAAAAGTCTGTTCTATCTTGTACTTGTCTTGACATCTCTACCATCTACAAGTTCTGTAATGACACAGTTTTTTCCCTCTTTTTGGTTTGTAGTTGTCCTCATCTGTCAGTTGGGGTCTCTGGTTCCCTGTTTACAATCTTGTAGGCTTATTTACTTTGGATACTTCCATAGCTGGAT